GTGTTTTGTTTGCTAATTACTGATCTTCTGCCGGCTTTGAGACGTCGACCAGTGATTCTCGTGAACGGTATGACCAGTCGAGTGGATCATTATGCTGACATTCGGGATTATCTCAAGCAACGAGGATATCGCGACGAAGAACTTTATGGTACAACTTTTGGCAGTGCCGGTAATGTGAGCATGTTTTCGGTCACAATGGAGTGCGATTTCTCCAGAAGAGTGAGTACTTTGGCTTTCTGTAGAGACAATTTAAACTTTCCATAGCCATTACCATATCAATATTTAGTCATTATTCTCTGGTTTCCAACTCAAAGGGATACAACATTCGATAAGTGCCGACTTCGTAGGGTCGATACGCACCATTTTGTGTCGCCGAATAGCGAATGAGATGAGATTATAGGTGGAGCTTTCAGATTCGCGAACTTATTGTTGCAGTGAACTCATTCACCAACTCAAAAGTGGATATTTTGGCGTTCTCAATGGGATCACCTGTTGCACGAAAGGTGAATGCTGCTCAAACCTTATGCAATAGTTCTTGGTTTCCATCTAATTCCAGTAAATCACTCAACTAGAAGTGACATTCTCAAAAATGAATCGTCGCAGGTAGCCAGAGAAACGCCACTTAAAACAGCCTTAATCGAGGATTAAATCTACTAATCTGGTGACACGTATTCACATGTCATTTGTCAGATGATAGAACACATCTGGAACAGTCAGTTTTATGCAGCGATTTGTTGAGAGTTTACATTTTGCGTCCTGTTGAGGCCATGTTTGTGATGGTCATGGATTTTGTGTCTTTCCAGGCCATTTTGGGAGGGATTTGTGTGGATACTGGCGAAGAACTTGGCGCTCCGCTGACGTCTCATGTGGACACATTCGTCAGTGTTGCTGGACCAAACCATGGCTCATTTCTATGCGTCTTCTCGTTTATCCGATCGTGCAACGCTCTCAATGGACTGATTTGTTCGTCGACGTATTTGGCTGATATCAATTCAGTGTCAGTGAGCAATTTGTCATCCGATGAAACTGGTCCTTGCTGATGCATCTTTCGACGATTCAGTCATAGCCCTATAGGCGGAAGCAACTTCGCTTATAGAAATCTGACTCCAAATGAAGCGAATTTTTCCCGAAAAGTAATCTAAACGGGATGAAATTCATACGAATTTGAAAAATTTTAAGCGCTGATCGACCCATTTGATTCCATTTGTTGCTGTTCTAATCGTTTTTGTAAATCAATTTGATCGTCTGTATCAATGTAACTTCATGAGATTTATTTTGATAGCGGATGAAATTTTCAAGGAAACGGTACGAAGGATCGCGTATATTCACCATATATTCCAAGGATGATGAGTTTGCTGGGTACGAGGTTTGCGGGCGATTGACAACCCCAATCGACGGACAAGATCAGGGTTATGAGGTTGGTGAGATTTTGGTACAAGTGGAAAAATATTGGGCTCAACGATGAATTACTTCATCAGGCCTCATGCTCATTGACGGGTGATGAAGGTTCGAAGTTCCTGTGAACTGGAAAGTCGTATAATCTAAGGGATGATTCACAATAGAATTTGGTTTATGCTCCGATTCGATCTGGAGGTCATGCATAGACTTTGGAAGAATCATGAATGATAAATAAATTCAGTAAGATGGTAATAGTGATCTTATAATGAGCTCTACTTTCGTGTGGAGTGGAGTGGAACGCTCGAAATACACTGGATTGTCGAGTTCCCAGAAATATTTTTGCCGTCAACTCATAAAGCTTCTCAAGAATTCGTTTAATTTTATGCCGTCCTATTGCAGTTCTCCGATATCAACCACGAGGAAACACTCAAGGATACAGTAGCATTACAGTACGAACTGTTAACAAAGCGCCATGTGAAGTTAATACCATCCGGATCGTCTGCTACTCAATGTGCTTTCATCTCCTCAATTTACTGGCT